TTAAACAGTGAAGAAAACTTGCTGTTTGGGCAGATAATATTCACATTATATTTTAAAATACTTAAACATTCTAGAATAAATTTAGGTTTAACTTTCATAGTCTACATCAATATTTTGTGTGAAATTATTTTATAGGAAAATATGTTAAAATTGGAAACAGAGCAAGAAAGCGATATTGAAATCTTAATAGGATTCAAAGTATAACAATATATGTAAATTAAATAATATTGTTCATATTTAAATCTATATTTGCTTTAATAATTTTAATATATATCTGTAATATATTAGAGACTTCTGATATAAAAGTATTGCTGTGTAAAAAGTAAGGCAAGTGTAATTCTTTTAGAAAATAAAATTGGAACATTCTCTAATGAGAGTTTCCAAATTAAGTATAAATAATACTTTTCATTTCTTCAATATACTGTTTATGATAGTGAAAGAGTAACTTGTTAATTAGAAATACTTAAAAAATAGTAATGCTGGCTTTGCATTTTTGTAACTTGCATTATGTTATTTTTGTAGTTACCACTCTTAGAAACTTTACTGCCTATTACTGAAGCTGTGACTTTAATTTATTCCATTCTGCCAGAGGCAATGTATGTCTGCCAAGGAAAAAAAATACAGAAATAGTAAAATTTTAATAGTAATAATAAAAAGAAATTGCACAGTAACTAAGTTAAACAGGAATATACATTTATTTTCAAAAGCAAACAGTAAAAAATATTTTGCTATTTTAAAATTTAATTCTTCAATATGACATCTTCTACATCAGTGATATAAATTTTCTTTTGTCCCCAAACCTTGTTACATTATCAGTACATATTTAGTTTTCTTTTTAGAGATTTGACCTGAGATTTATAAAGGATACATTTATTGCTTAGAAACACTTTTTTTGTTCTTTAATAGGGTCTTGAAAGAACCTGGCCAATCTAATAAGAAGACTAAATCTCTAACTGCACATTTCAATTTTAAATTAGGGGTCAATCAAAAAGTGCTATATTTAGGGCAATTGGTTTAAAGTAATTGCAAAGCTGATTCAAAGCAGATTACTTTCCAATTAGTAAGTTTTAGAGCACAAGTGCTTTATTATTTATAGTAATATTCAAACATACTTAACAGATTAAAAAATTTATCATAATCATCTACTCACCTGATATTCCTAATTAAGAATAAAACATTTTTAGAATAAAATAAGGTGTGGGGAAATAGGGGTGAAATCTTGAAAAACACTTTTATTCCTAGGGATACTTTAGGGAGAAGTTTAGTTTCTTCTCCTAAAATGACTCTGAACTATTCTATTTAAGAATATTTAAATTATGATCAGACTGACTTGTCAAATAATCTGTATTCCATTCAAATATTCTATATTCTTAGTTTATCCCTAGGAGTTTCAACCTTAAAACATCTTTAGTATGCAGCTCATTGATCTAGTACATTCTTCTACTTAATTATGTTTCACTGTTTACATATTACAAACAAGTATCCAAAACAGTCCTGTAACTCCTACATTTTCCTCTACCATTCTGGTTTCCATCTAGTCTTCCATGTTAAAATAAAATCAGAATCTCTACTTTGCCATAAATGTCTTTTTTTCTTTAGGAAAATGGTCATTTTTTTAAAAAAAAGCAAAAATGACCAATTTTAAAAGTAAAAAACCAAAAAAGGGTAACTATAAATTTCTACTATGCAAGCAGAATCCAAATTTAAATGAGTATTATTTCCAGCTTGGGTGACTTACATAACCTTTATCTGAATTGATTTGTATATTTGATAAATACAGATAATTGTGAAGAAACATTTTATTTCACACCCAGGTTGTAATGAGGTTATTGAACTAATTTTGGGAGATAAAATAGCTATGTTAACTGGTGTAGCATGAAACTGCAGTAGTTCACAGTTTAAAGAATCAAAGACATTAAGTTATTGAGATGTATCATGTAAATAATTGTATAGAAAAGAGTTACTCTGTATACTTTTTTTCTTGGTGGAGAGAGAGTTAGAAACCTAAACTATGTTTGAGCCATCTTTGTACACTATTTTCATGTTGCTTTAATTTTAGGGGGTGCTTAAATAAAACTGGTGTGTCTGCTGCTGTTGTACTTGGTTTCTAAAAACTCCACCTGACTTTCTGAAAAGACTGAGATTATCAAATCCTCCATTTAATGGTAGCTGGTAAAACTGAAGCTCTAATGACCAATGCAGTAAAGAATACTTTCTGAATCCTCAGAGGACTCTGCCACAAGTTTAATGCACTTTTAACCTGTTATCTCACCTATATATAGTCAAGAATAATAGTTACACCATCCTTATATAGTCATTTTAAAGACTAACTATCCTGCCCTTAGCCGTGTAGGAAAATAATTTCAATTTTCCTAAACCTCTAATGCCAAAAATACGTATAGAAAGAACAGAAGAATAAAGATAAACAGTACTGTATGCTGGTGTTTGGAATGACAATCAGATGGGATAAAATTTACACAGAAATATGCTTTAGTTTGTTTTGTGATTTACTACTTTCCTGATCCTCAGAAAGATTATTCTTATTTTCTCATTTATTAGTTCTTAAGGATGCTTGTGAAATATTTTCATTCTGTGACATGGTATGGAAGCAAAGCCCTGGAAAGAGTTTAAGACAAAGTGAAAATTCAAAGAAACTCATTCTAATTAGGATTTCTTAATAATAAATACTAATTATACTTATCACTATATCTTTTCTCTTATGAAAAGCTATCTCACAGTAAACAGTAAAAAATATTAACTGACTTTCTTGTGTCTAGATTGATAACAAGACTTACTAATTAATTTCAACATTAGGACATTAGAAAACATATCCTTACCCATCAACAAACCTCAGATTCTTACAAAAATAAAACAAGAAAGTTTGTGTTGGATGGTGTAAGTGAAAGACAGGTTTCCCCTATTATGTAAATCACCTATTTACTTATATTGGTTTAAAAATGCATAGTTTTAAAAATAAAAACAATATGTAAGAGAAGGTAGTTTGTCGTTTTGATTTATTGTACTTACTAAAAGTTAATTTTTTTTGAGATATAGCACATTGGCAAATGTGATTTCCTGATTCTATAAATATTTAAAAACAAATTGCTTTCTAGAGTTTTCCACCAAGAAAGGAAGAAAATACTGTTCTTTTTACAAAAAAAGATTAATAGGAACAAAATTTAAATAACTAATCATTTTTAATAAAGATAATAAATGGCTTCAAATTGAAAATACAAATTTAAATGAAATGTCTTAAAAATATTGAAACCAAGTTAAAATTATATTTATGAATTTAATTTCTAATAAAAGGAGAATACCAGTGGATTTTAAATGATAGAATGAATCAACAATAAATAATGAACATTTTTAGTGCAAAGAGTGCAGAACATTTTTAAACCAAAGATTATAGCAATCTTTCTAACCTGTACAAAATCAGTTTCACTTCATAGTCTATATAAATTCAGCCAGTGTGATGAGATGCCAAATTGTGAATCATAAATATAAAACAATGTGCTTGGTTTTTTTGTCCCATTTCTCTCTTGGCAGTTCATGTTTTCAGGAAAACCTAGGAAGATACAAAATATAAACTCCTGAGATTTAATCATAAAATGGCAATTTCTGATCCTATACATTCTCTTTAAGATTGCCCTAGTAGGTATATAACTGTGGGAGGGTAAGGATGAGAAAAAGAGTCTAGTATGTTCAAATAAGTAACCAATTATTCAATGTATATCTTCTTTGTGAGTATGAGAAATATAAACTTAGTATTAAAAATTTATAGTATATTACATAGTTTAAAAAAATTTACAGTATAACTTGAAAAATATGATTAAAAAATACTATGTTAATACAAATAAAAGAAATCCAGAGGAACATACAATTTTCAGTTGAAAGTGGAAACGCCCATCATTTCCCTCCTTGTATCCTACTCCCTATCCCCTGGGCCTGTTAAAAGGACCTTGTGGTGCCCACCTCTGGGCCAAACTGATTAGGCCAGATGGACACTTCCTTCCCATACTGGGATAATCTCGTCCCTGGGGATTTGCATGAGGACTTGAGACTCTTGTCAGTCTCCATTGGCTGCCAGCTATGTCGATGGTATTATCAGACCTGTGGGCAGGCTGAATTGTGTGCAGGTGTAACGAAGTCTGCACGATGAGAAAGCATGAGAGAGAGATGCAGAAGTGAGAAACATGCAGCCTTTAAAGGGTGCTTTGGTTAATGATGGTTTCTTGTATGTTTTTAGTGTCTTAGGCAACTGAGAGTTACACCTTCTAACACCGTGGTGGTGTAATAGATCTTCATCTTCACCCAGCAGAAGGATTACTTAAAATTGTTTGGGTGGAAGCCAGTCCTGGCAAACAAACCCTTCCTAAAATGAGACACATGGAGATAGAAAGGAAGAAGTCTGGTAAAAGATAGTGTTGATAGAAGGAAAAACAAGGAATAAATGGCTGATATCAAACACAGGCACAGATAACAGGTAGCTTAAAGTGAGAGAGAAATTTGGTATTGATACTTCTATTGTCCCAAGCTTACTGAACTTTCTGGAGAAGACATTTAGAAAGTGGTACTATAGGAAGATCAATCTGTTATCTTTGTGTAGAGAAAACTCTGAAGTTGGGGAGACTGGTCAGAAAATTATTAGAGCAGTCCTGGTGTATGGTGGAAAAGAGAAAGGCAGGAAATTCATCTTGGAGGAAAAGAAGACTACTAAGAAAATTGACAACTACATGATATGGTAATAGTCTACATACCAGCTCAGAGGACAAAAGTAACTCACTTACATTCTAAATAATTACCTATGCAAATATTGAAAAATTATTTCCATTTAAGCCAGCATCATATATGTATAAATATCTATAGGATAAAGAGCATAATGATGACAGAGTCATAATTATCTGTCAGAAAGCTAAGAATAGGCTCTGATAAAATAAGTTCGACTAAAGAATGGTTAACAAAATACCACTGAAATTCAAGTTTTTAAAACAGCAATTTACCTATAGTGGAGCATGAAACTGGCTGTGCATTGCTGTTGCCTGTTGAAGTTTCTCTTCCTTTGCTCTTCTACAGTGGCAAATCTAGAAAAGAAATGATTTAAAAAGCAATAACTTCTGACATTTTCTGTATTGTAACAGAATTCTAAGGATCTTAATCTGTTGATATTATTTCAAGTTTTGAAGGTTTAGTTTCTAATCTCTTGGAATTTTTTTTTTTAAATCATCACCCTGTAATTTTGTTTGGAAGGTAGCCATCTACTACATACTTCCAGAATGTAAACAAACACTGGTTCTTGATGTCAGTTTTTCTGATTATGTAATTTCATAGAGCTGGGTTTAGAAATAGGAACTCCAATGGCATAGCAGGTTAAAGAATGATACAAATAACAGCTTTTCTAAAATACAATTATTGTTTGATTTACCTGCTTTTGTACACATAATAAGGGGCTCAAGGTATTAGGAAGATGCTATTACAATTTTCAATAGAGACTAAACTCTACCCTACAATAATGCACTAAAGCTTTGTACTAGAGTATTCTTAAATAATTGTTACTATACGGCCTGCCATTTGTCCTCAAATGAAGAGTATTACATACTGTTCTCTTCTCCATGAAGCTGCTGAGAAAATCATCTATTTCTGTTTTCCCCTCCAAGAAATCTTCAGCAATATTATCAGATTCTTCCTCAGCTTCATGTGCAGCTACTTTCAATCTTGCCTGAAGGGCACTTGCACTACAACTCTGAAAAATAAAATCAAGTACTGTTTATGATGCTGAGAAAGAAATACTTTTTAGAGGAAAGGAAATTGTGGTAGATGTGGGGAGAAGCCTGAACAAGGTCTCTTTTTGTGGAATTCTGCCACACTCCTTAAAATGCCCCACTGAGGTTTGTCGTAGAATACAGGGGTGGACACCCAACACACAAGAAAACCAATCTACTGACTACAATTAAATGCTATAAAAAGGGTAAGTCACTGCCATCTCTAGTGAATTAGGGCACTAATTCCACAGTGACACTGTGGGAGTCTCTCTCTATGATGACTCCTGGTATTCTAGGTGTAATCCCATCCTCCTAAGTGTAAATTAGACCAATGGCAAAATATGGCAAAAGGAATGGGAGATTAAGTTTCAGTAAGACTGAAGCTTCTATCTTGTGTGCCTTCTCTCATTAGCTTGTGCTGAGGGAAGCCAACTGCCATGCTGAGATGGTCCCAGATGCCATGGGATTGAGTGAAATCTCTGGGCCCAAATAATTGAAGAATTGAGGTCCTCAGTCCAGTAGCTCATGAATGATTGAATCCTGTCAACAAGAAGTGACTTTGAAAGTGGATTTTCCCCCAGTTGAACCACGAGAGGAAACTAAAGCTTTTGATGATACTTTGACTGCAGCCCTGAAACCAAATCACCTACTTAAACTGTGTTTTATATTTTTGATCATTGAATCTGAGATATAATAAACATTTATTTAAACTCTTAAGTTTTGGGGTAATATTTTCCAAATCAATAGCTCAATACTGTAATCACTGACAGAATGGGTTAAATGAGAATGGTGACTAAGAAGTCAAGATGTGGATATGAAGTTAGGAATCACACTGGCCATCTGCATGAAGTAAGAGTGAATCAAAAGCAGTAGAGATGAGCAGAAAAAAGGTGGGCACTCAAATAGACATTTTCTGAGCATCCTTCTATTCAGGCTTAATTGAACTTAATTTCCTACCTTTAGATAAAATGAAACTTAGAGTTTCTTTTATTATTATTTAAATCTACTTTTTATGATGAGCAAGCTATAATGAATTTCTAGTCTATGCAAATAAGAAAAGTTTCTTAGGACAGAAGAGAATGTTTATTATGCCTCTACTACTGTGGGGACTATTTGGGTTGAAATCTTTTATCACTTATTAGCTGTATGATTTTATAAAGGTTATTTCATTCCATGAATTTTAAAGGAGGGTACAGTCCTTATTTTAACAAATAGTGAGAAATATCTGTAAATGTATGTGATGTGCCTGACAAACTGAGGGCTCACAACTCTTCTCAGTTTCTCTAACAAAAAAATACACACAGAGAGCACTCTGAAAATATTCAGGAGGCACTAGACAGAGTAAATATTATTCTTCTGTATATGAATACTACAGATACTACTAATAGTTAAAGTATAAATATGATAGTAGTTAAGATTACCAAGGAGAAGTTTCTGTTTTTATTTAGGATTCATCTCAGAATCATACAAAGACTACAGTCATCACTAGGCATCAAGGGGATAAATCCCTTACTTGGTAAGGTGGCTAAAACTAAGTTTGTTTTAGTTTTAAATCATAAAATGAATAAAAGGTCTCTAAGGTTCAGGAGTTTGAATCTATATACATTTGAGTTGTAACAATTTGTCTTTGTCCCAGATAAGGCAATGCAAGAAATGGAAATAGGGATTGTCCTTTCTTTCTCAAGTGTCCTTTACTGATTCCTCCTCCCCTCATTGATAAGCACCATTAATCACCTGGATCTAAGTAGCACCGTTTCTTATGTTATCCTGTTTTACACATGCAGTACAAATATAGCAGTTCTTTATCTTACAAATTTAGAGCTTTGGAACATTGTCCAATATAGTGCCAGAAGATGAGGTCATCATGTTGGAAGGTATTCAAAAGAACACTGGGTAAAGAGCTGCTTCCTCAAAGTAGAGCCCACCGTAATGGCACAGATGGAGTAAAGCTGAAAGGCCTTCATGTGCTCATACCTATTCAATCTTATGTTGAGCAAATCATTCAAGAAGCAAATCATTCAAGAAGCTGGACTATAACAAGAAGAATGTGGCATTAGGACTGGAGGAGGACTTCCGTAGCCTGTGTTATGCAGATGACACAACCTTGTTTGCAGAAGCTTCAAAAAGATTTGCAGTATTTATTGGAGAAGGTAAAAGACTACAGCCTTCAGTATGAATTAAAACTCAACATCAAGAAAACAAAAATCCTCCCAACTGGACCAACAGGCAACAAATGACGTATTTAATTTTCCTTGGCTCTAAAAATCAACACTCATGGTAGTGCCAGTCAAGAAAGCAAAATCTGTGTTGCCTTGGGCAAATCTGCGGCTGAAGCACAAGGAGATCCACTTAAAGATTAAGATGCATCTGCTCCAAGCCAAGATATTCTCAGTTGCCTCATAGGCATCTGAATGTTGGCCAATGAGTAAACAGTCAAGAATTTATGTCTTTTAATTGTGACACTGGCAAAGAGAATTGAATATACACAGACTGCCAAAAGAACAAATCTGTCTTTGAAGATGTGCAGCCAGGATGCTTCCTTTGTCTTATGTATTTTAGGCATATTATTAAGAGGGACCAGTACATGGCAGAAGATAGCCTGCCTGGAAAAGTAGAGGGTCACTGAAGGAAAGGAAGACTCTAAACGAGATAGACTGATAAGTGACTGCAACAATAAGCATACACAAAGATTTTTAAGATGGCACTGGATTAACTGGGCAGGGTTTCAATCTGTTGTGCATAAGGTTACTATGACTTGGAGTTGACTCAATGGCACCTAATTGTAACTTCATTAAAAATAAACCAAAAAATGCTTGAAAGAGTGCAGCAATATAGTATATTCATGCACTGAAAAATACAGTATCAAAACAGATTTCATTCTTCTCAACATAATCTGTACGTTTAATATGTTGTTGTTATTGTTAAGTGCCATCCAGTCATAGACGACTCATAGGAACCCTATCAATGAAAGACCTGAACATTTGTATAACTTTCATCATTTCTCCAAGTTCATAAAGTTTCTGGAGGCAAGGTATTTCGGAAGTGGATGCCCCTCCTGCTTCCAAGCTAATCAGGGAGCTTCACAAAACACTGTCCACCATGGGTGACCCATTATTGCATCTGACACACAGTCCACATAAAATACCCAGGAGTACTACAGCAACTGATTTAGGCCATGGTCTTTTCAATTACTTGCTGTGTAACTGAAAGTAAATAAAGATGACAGAAGAATCAGGAGCTTCTTCGAGGCAAAGATGGTGAAATTTTGTCTCATATACTTTGGGAAGGAGTGGCATCCACTTCCTAAACAACATGCCCTCAAGAAACTCTATGAACTTTGATAAATGTCGAGAGTTGTAGAGGGGCTTCAGGCTTTTTGTTCATTGGGTCGCTATGAGTTGTGTTCAATTTGAAGGAAAACAACAACATTCACATACTTTGGGCATGGTGTTAAGAATTGCCAGTCCTTTGGAAAGTTGGAGGGTCAGCAAAAGAGGAGACCCTCAACAAGATGGACTAACAGTGACTGTATCACTGGGCTCAAGTATGTAAGACTTGATGAGGAAGGCACAGAATAGGGCAGGGTTCAGATCTATTGTTTGCTCACAGGGTCTCTGTAAGTGGTACTTAACAACATGGCACTTAACAAAATCTCACTGGGCTTTGAAAGCAAGTGAAAGGACCAACAGAGCTTACCACAAAGCAACACGTAAGAATTGCTCACGGTCAGGCATTTGTATGATAAATCTGTGAAAATTCCCCAAAATGGCCACATCTAAGCTGAGCTAGTTGGCTGATTTCTTCTTGGATTTGTGTTTCTACTTGTCTCAAAAGCTCTGGGGCAGGTGGACCCTTGCCCTTCTTGATTCTGGTCATGCTTACAGAACCAGATAAAGGTCAAGCAAATGATGGTTTCTCCTTAAGCTAAGCATTCTATCCGTCTATGGATTCCTTAACCTAAACATGTAATGGAGGTGGTTTGTATGAGAGTGTTAATATTTGTTTACTTCTCAACACCCTTAGGTCCCTGCAGTGCTGCCCTTCTCTGGTAAGTGTCCTGTCCCAGTAAATAAAAATGAATTTATTTTAGTTTGCCTCTGGGTAATTTGTTTGCCTGCAAACAAGAACCTGGAGGGACTTTCCCCATGGGGAACAAACTGCAACACCATTACTATTTATTTTAAAGGACTAGCTTTGGTGGCTTAGTAGTAAGAAGCTGCTCTGCAATCTAAAAGGCACAAGCTCCACCAGCTGCTCCATGGGAGAATAGGCTATCTCCTCCCATGCCTCTGAAAACCCAAGTGACCCTATGAACAAAAGATCTGGACCCTGTTCTATTCTGCATCATCTTCATACTTCCTGACAAAAGAGCCCACTGCATCAGTCAGTCACCCTATCAATCCACCTGGTTGAGGGTTTTCCTCTTCTTCCTACAGCCTCTGCTCTTCCCAACATCAGGCCCTTCTTCAAGGAATAGCACATTTTAGCAACATGTCCAAAGTATGTGAAATGAAGCCTCATCATTCTTGACTTCAAAGAACACTCTGGCTGCATCCTCTCCAAGACATATCTGTTTGATCTCTTTGTTGTCCATGGGATGTTCAGTGCTCTTCTCCAACACCACAGTTCAAAGACGTCAATTCTTTTTCTGTCATCCTTGTAATTTTATGTAATAATGATGTTAGATTCTCCTTACTGCTTTATTTTTTTCTTGGCTGATGTGACTTTATTTCTTTTATCTATTTATTGCATTAGGCAAGGAAGAAAAAAAAGTTTCTATCATTTCTTTAATATTTTTAAAAAGATACTAAGTTGAAACCATTTTGCTGTGCTGATTCCACCTAAATACCTCCCTGTGTTCCAGGACATAGTAAATAATCTGGTTGTTCACTCCTAAATAATGTTTGATGAGACAAAGGGCCAGTGTACAATGGATAAACAACCTACTAACATCAACTGAGCCTCTACCTGCTTTCACCAAAGTGTGCATTTTAAAGAAAATATCTTTGCTATATACTTGGCCAGTGTTGCTTCTGGACTTTGTAGTAAGTTTAGACCTTTCAAAAGATAATTGTCCTTTTAGTCCAGAAAGACAATTTTGACCAAAAAATTCCTTATCAAGTTTAAATCCTTTAATTGTGTAGTTAGCCTCCAGCCTGCAAACTAAAGCTCAGCCTGCCCTTCTATTAACATATGATACCTTTTGACCTTGTATCAAGGAGGAACTTTTCACTGTATGAGAAGGAAATTTTTAACTGTTTTAAACTTTAACTAGGTAACTCCCAGGTTTTCTGTGAATCATGGACTTATTTCCCCATCTCTTTTCCCTCTTTACATTGTTGTTGTTGTGTGCCATTTAGTCACTTGCGACTCCTTGTTACCCTATGTGCAACAGCTCTGACTCCTGCTCTATCCTGTCCCAACCTTATTGTCTGACACACCTACCCCCATTACTCCAGACACTGAATCAATCCACTTCATAGAGTGTCTTCCTCTCCTGCACTGTCCCTCCACCCTCCCAAGCATGACATCCCTCTCCAAGGTCTGATCCCTCCTAGCAACATGTCCAAACTATGTCAGACAAAGCCTAAGAATCCTTGCCTCCAAAGAACAGACTAGTTTCACCCTCACCAGGATGAACCTGTTTGTTCTCCTAGCTGTCCATGGTATGTTCAACACTGTTCTCCAGCACCACAGCTCAAAGGCATCAATTCTCTATTATCCCTAATCACTGTTCGCTCCTCTTTACATGATAAGCTGAAATATTTTCCTTTGAGGTGATTCAGATCAGGAAAGTCTGTATTCAGCTGATGCAGGCAATATAAGACCCAAGACTAGATTGCTATGAGCCTTAGTCTTCAATGGCACATAACAACATCAGGCACCTCCAGGTGTTCTCCCTCATAACAATATGTAATTACAGGAGATGTCAGGTATCATGCAAGTGACTCCTGTAGGACACTCTAGAGAACAGCCATCTAGAAAAGGCATGTTCTGTTGTGACCAAGCACTTCACTTGGAGACAGCCGTATTTAAAGCCACACCCACATTTCTGAAATTTGCCAAATCCTTCTGTCTCAGGGCCATCTTGTTGGCCACACACAGAAAATCAAAGACTACATCCTCCAATATGGATTACATCTCAACATTAAGAATACAGAAATCCTAACCACTGAGCCAACAAACAACATCATGATAGATGGAGAAAAGACTGTAACTGTCAAAAAATATAATCTTAACTGGATCCACAGTCAACATCCTTGGTACCATTAGTCAAGAAATCAAAAAATGTGTTGCACTGGGAAAATCTGCTGTCAAGGATCTCTCCAAAGTATTAAGAGCAACAAGTCAGTTTAAAGACCAAATTCCAAGGCAGGGTATATTCAAGTACTTGCTACGTACACATATGAAAGTTGGACAATGAACATAGATGACAAAAGGAATCATGAGAAAGTAGTACCTATCTCTCCATGTCTTCCTTTAAAAAGTATTTTCTCTAATAAATCTCTCTTTATGTGTAAAGAAATGCCTCAGCTCTTATTTTGCCACTCTACTTGGGATTCTGAAAGTTTCTCACTTTCACTTTTTAGTTTGGCCGTATGGCCAGAAGAGACCGGTCCTCGGAGAAGGATATCATGCTCAGAAGGGTGGATGGACAGAGCAGGAGAGGAAAACCCCGGTGATATAGTAACTGGGGAAATGGGGGTAGATGTGTCGGAGTCAGTGAGACTGGCTCAGGACAGAGCAGGCATCAGAGTTCCTGTACACAGGGTCACTTTGAGTTGCAGGTGACTCCACATAACAACAACTTAACAGAAGGAAGAACCCAAATTTAAGGGCTGCATTGGAGACATTTTCTTGATGACTAGGGAGTAGTTGGCTATACCTTTAAGAATTTTATTTTTAAGCAACATGGGATATTATTAAGTATGTTTGCTTCCACTATGAGACATATGCTGTATTCTTCAATACAATAATTTTTTTCTGAAATAAATGTTGACTTTCATAAGAAAGTCAACATGCCTTTTTGTTTATCACTTGAATTTCAACATAAAGTCTACTACTTGTAAGCACACTTTAACTTTTCAATTTTTTAACATTCTTCTTAAATTTTTATGGTAAAGGGAAAGAGCTGAACAATCTCACCTCACTAAGTTCATGCTGCCTCTGCATCTTCTTTTCAAAGGTAGATTTCATTTGTGTAAGTAATTCATACTAAGAGAGAAAATAAAATGCTGTTTTATTTTATTTTTATATCACACAAAAGATTTTCTTCGAAATAATAACTCACCTTATCTAAAACAGTTTGCCTTTTGGCTTCCAAGCTGGGTTCCAAGAGGAGATTTTTTCCTGTAAAATAAAACTCTTGTTTATTTCTAGATAAAAACCACATTTTCTCAATTTAAACTGAATTAAAGGAAGACATACTTGCAAGCTCTTCAATACTTTTTACTAAGTCATTCTTGTCAGCAATTATTTGTTTTAGTTGAGGCAGAGTTAGAAACTGTTCTAGTAATACTTCCTCTTGTTCATTCATATCTGTGAGTTGTGACACACTAGAAGAAAATAAAAAAGGTTAAAAATGAAAATCAGTTTTTCTTGATGATGATAAATATTCATAACTTTCAGTTTCATCCAAAAATGATAGAATTCTAAATAGCTATTAAAGAATATTATTCTATATAAATCTAAGAAGACTATTTGCAAACTTAAAAGCAAATAAAATATCAAACAAAATGAAGCATAATAGTCTTGTATTCTAACAGAAATCATAGAAATGAATTGTGGTTGAATGGATATACTAATGTTACCTATTATCTCTAAAAATCACCACTCCGGGAAAGAAGTCAGAATTATATAGTTGCCTGAAATCAACAAAAAGATCTATTTTAGAGAATGAGAGTTCTGGTGACTTTAGTGGTAAGGAACTGCACTGTTACTGCTTGGGCATGTGGTTCACACCAACAGGTCTGTGGGGAAAAGATGAGAACTCTCCTCCTGTAACATTTACTACCTCTGAAAATCCACTGCAGGGTTAGTATGAGCTGCTTTGGAACTTGATGGCACATTAAGAGTGTTGTTGTAGTTAAGTGGCATCCAGTTAGTTGTATGCGACTCATAGCAACCCTATGAATGAAAGTCCTCAACACTTGTGTGACTTTCATCCTCTCTCCAGGTTCATAGGGTTTCTGGAGGCAAGCTATTACAGAAGTGGATGCCACTCCTGCTTCCAAGCTTATTTTAATCAGGGAGCTCCACCAAACACTGTCCTCCATAGGTAACCATTAAGGCATGTGACACATCAGTGTCACAGTGTTCAGCTTCACAGCAACTACAAGTTACCGCTGTACAGCAAGTGGACACACCAGGGTTATACCACCTAGAAGAATGTTTGAACAAAAACAATGAAAAATAGGCAGTTAATTTAAGAATGTCCTTAACAGAATAATTCTAGTTAATAAATGCAGAAAAAAATGATAAAATCAAATATTATATTTACAATTCTTAGTGAAATAATGGTCAATGGTTTCAGGTGTTTCAAATGGTTCTGATCTTAATTTCACTAAAAACAAATTAATTATGTATTACTGCTACCTCAAATGATACCATAGAAATTCATATCCACTATTTATGATCTAAGGATGGATTAGCCATGTTTAGACTTGGTTTTGAATTCTGATTCAAAAAAACCAACAAACAAAATATTTTATTATTAAGACACTGGGAAAATGACATAATACTAATCTTTATTAATTTTTTTAGGTATAATAATTATCTTGATCATGGTTATGGATTATATACACACACACACACACATACACACACACATACACACACACACACACACACACACACACACTGAGAAAACTGACATTTTATGGATGAAAACATAGGAACTAGAATTTACAATAATCTTGACCCACATCCACACTTAACCACCCACTCCCCACTGTCCAGACACACACATTAAAAAAACTGAGGAAGAGTTTCTGAAGACGTATATCTCACAGCTAACCCTCTCATGGGTTTTCAGAGGCTATAAATCACATAGGTAGAAACTGCACATCTTTCTTCCATGAGCAGCTGGTGGATTTGAAATGCATTTAGGTTGGCAGCACAATTCCTTATCACTACACCACCAGATGTCTCTCTCAAGATGTACAGAGAGACTAATAACTATTGATACTGAATGACGGATATGTAGAAGTTCATTATACTATTCTATTTTCGTTTGTATGTTTTTGACATTTCCAGAATAACTTTTTTTTAAATTAAGAATTACTGAGACTCTAGATCAAAGTTCTAGGTTAAGTTAGATCAATGTATGTTTCTTCATCTATAAAATGGGAACAAAATACTACCATGGGGTTGTGAAGAGCATTACAATGCATAAACGCCTTAACATACATCTGGCATATTATAAGCACCCACTACTATTACTAGCAAAAATATTAATATCACTATTTCTTAAAAATTAGTGTAAAATACTAAGTCAAATAAAATTGAACAATGTTTCTTTAAACCATATAATTTCTTTTGAGTATTTGGTCATACATGCCTGGTAGGATATGTCCTAAAAGCCAGAGAGAACTACAGAAACAAAAAGCTTGTACCAGTCTTCCATAGTTAGTAACAAATAACCTTATAAGTACTATAAATCTTCAAAGGGTATAAAGGACAAAATGTTTCCGCAAAATGAGTAGTCACAAAACACTGAAGCATCTTTAAGAATCAGTGTTTCCTGTACAAATGTTCTGTTAATTTTAAGTGTTAACAAACTCCGCTGCCATAAATTTTAATGAAACATCTTATGTTTTAAAAATAAAAAATATCTTCAAATATTTTTGCTAACTTTAGTCGTTTATACACAAAGTTCTAAATGTTCTGAAATTTTCAGTAACAGTATATTCAAAATAATTTTTCAGAGTCTAAATCATATGACAGAAATGGCCTTGTTATTTTGTTAACTATTACATTATCACCAGATTTAAGGAAAAATCTCTGGATGCATACTAGTCACTCAAAAAAATACAACCTAAATAGACCTAATGCTGATTTACAAAAATTTCTCACCAGAAACTACAATAAAAGAATATAGAGGATTTTATAAATCTTTTTATTCAGTGAATATATAAAAATTATGCTCTATTTTTAAATGGAAAATAAATTAAGACAATGAATGCCAACTTTAAATTTTTTTACCTTAGTTCTGAGAGTTCTGGAAATGTATCAGGGACATCTGGCATCTTATAACCAAAACCATTCTGGTTTATCTACAAAAGTGTTTTAAATAACATATGTTTCAATTATTTTTGCATCTGTATTCACGTACTTAAAAAAAAAATTTACCTTAAAAAGCATCACATCCTATAGGATTGCTATCATCATAACACCTTAACCTCTGTATTTCCCACTTCCTTTTTTTTTCACCCCACTTCCTTTTTGTCTCCCTTTTCCTTCAGTTAATTTTTTCAGTGTAACCTTGTATGTACATATGAGGTTCCTATTTGGCGGAAGCAGGGGATATTTATGGCCACAGGAGTACCTATGTTGTTGTTGTTTGGTGTCCATGAGTGTTCTTTTTGGGCTAGAATATGACTAAGATTTCACTGATAATAGGAATATATTTCAAGTGCAAAGTATTGTAATAAAAACGAATAATCTAGTAAAATTTAATAACTACACAATTAATTAGCGAGAGTAGAGAAATATGCTTTGCTTGAACAAAGGTTACTTTTAAAAATTCTGAAATCAGTTCTGATGGATATAATGAAGTGTTACATCATTATGGGTGCTTTTTACTAAAGGATTATATGGAATATTTTAATGTCTCTTTATATGTTTTATGGAGAAACCCTGGTGGCATACTGGGTTAAGCATTAGGCTGCTAAATAGGTTAGCAGTTTGAACTCTCTAGGGGGAAGTTGAGGCTGTCTGCTCCTATCAAGATTTACAACCGAGGAAACCTCAGAGTCCTAAGTTGAAACTGACTCAAAGGCAGTAGGTTTGATCTGGTTATTGTGTTTTATGCAAAGTACTGTCTTGTACATAACATTGTATGATACATGATAATAGCTGCGAAGTCTCCCCCCATACCAATGGGATACTTATATGTCCTTAGACATATTGCTTTTCCTATACTCTTCCTGTTAGGCCCATCCCTCTGGCCCACTTAATAGCCCTAGAGTTTGTTTACAGACAAAAATTCAAATATGCCATCTGGTTTCTATCTTGCCATATGTATTAATTTCTTCTTACTCTGGAAAATCCATACTCATATTTTAAAGATCAATCTTTAAAAGAATGCATGAATTCACTCATTTATCTCTCTCATTTTTATGAGTGCCTACTATCAGAATCTGGCCTAGTGGTGAGAAACTATACTGTAATCCCAAAGGCAGGCAGTTCAAGACCAACAGATGCTCTGCAGGAGGATGGGTAATCTCCTCCCTTGTGATGTCTACCTCTGAAAACCCACTGGAAGGTCAGCTATGGGTTGGTTTCAACTCTATGGTACACAACAACAACAGAGATAAAGTAGTGGTGTGAGAAAAAAAAACCCAACTTTTTTTTTTAAAGTCAAGTCATGCCCACTGGTTCTACCTTAGAGTTGTTGTTCTGTACTGTAAGTTGGAACCAACTTACAGGTGACCCTCCAGCAGGTCTTCAGAGGAAGTAAATCACAGGCAAGGAAACTACCCATCTTTCATTTGTGTAGCAGCTAGTGGATTCAAACAACATACCTTTGTGTAGGCAGTGCAATTCCTTACCACTAAGCCACCAGAGCTCTTCCTCAAGTGTCTGTACTTTATGTCTTTTTACTCTTATAGGATGTTCCTAATTTGCAAGTACTGATATATTTGTTCTCCTCCACTGTCACTTAGGTTTAAAAATATAATTTTCAAAGGTAAAAAAATATAGATATACAAAGATACCAACCGGTGCAGAAGTATCTGTCATGGGAATGGGTAATGGCAGATTTGAGAGGATGCCAAATGAAGGAGCAGCGGGTTTGGCTGTGGTATAACTTGTGGTTGAAGAAACAGTATCAGCAACAGATACAGAAGTGATAGTCCTGTTGGCTTCTTGTGGGGGGTAAGGAGGAAGAAATGAAAAACCCTGAGAAGCATAAGGAGCCAGTCCACCTGGGTTACTATATAGGCTGAAGAGAAAGAAAGATCAGATTAGATTTTTAAAGGGTGAAGTATAAACAATTATTCCTAAACTGTTCTTAATATTAAGAATCATATATCATACATGGGATCTATTTCTGTAAATTGAGAAAATACAAGGCACCAAAGAGATTTGTAGTCTGCATGAAAAAGATTGCTTTTAAAAAGCATATAATGATGCTGTTCCAAATATAATAGGCTATTTTTGAGTTTTCAGAATTCCAATGACATACGTTAGTATCTTAAAATAACTAGAATAATTGGAAAAATCTAGTGTTGAGGTGGGAAAGGATTTTCAATGATCTTACATCCAGAAGTCATAAGAGAAAATATAAATTCTACAATAATAAAAAATTCCAATTGACCAAAACCATTGTAAGAAAAGATATACACTATCTATATTGTATGTGAAGCTAATATGATAGATGAATAATTTCTATAATATATATAGAAATATAAAAATTCTTAAAACACTAACTTAAGTAGCAAAGTAGAAAATAGCTAGCATAAAAGAAAAGGGAATAACATCTCTAAAACAGTAAAATATGGTCAGCTTCCTTGTTAGATAAAAACAACAAAAATACTACTAGCACATTACTTTCCACTCATAAAGATCTTTCTTGGTTATAAACTATCTTGGTCAAGAATATGAGGCAAGAGGCATTTTGGATAGGAGTATATTTTGGTACCATAACTGGAGAGGTGGAGTGGCCCACTCACAGGCAGCTGTCAGCAGGTCTCAGAACCCTGTTCAGAACCCTGTGGACCAGGGGCAGACTAGGGAGCGCTCACCTCCTAGTATCCTAGGGACAGCTGCTTGTCAGCCGACTATCTGGTGTCCTGTGGAACTGGGACCTGCGTAGAGGACCTAGAAGCCTGGTTTTCATGTGGAATCTCTTGATTTTTAGATACTAACAACATATTATATTGGCTGTTTTTTTTTAATTAAACCTCTTGTTTAGAGTCAACAAGACATGTGGAGGGCCTTTGTATTTAAAAGTTGGTTTTTATAGGGTGTCAAATGCCATAACAGTTACCTATGTGGACAGTTTTTGGTGGAGCTCCCAGTTTAAGACAAGTTTGGAAGCAGAGTGGCATCCACTTCCTAAACAACACGTTTCTGGAAACTCTATGACCTTTGAGAAACTATGATAGTTATAGGAAGGCTTCAGGTCTTTTGTTCATAGGGTCAGGATGAGTCCTGCTTGACTCTATGGCAATCAACAACAAACAACAGTATACAGATGACATGATAGTATATGCAGAATACCCTAAGGACTCAACAAAAAACTGTTAGTGCTAGTAGACCAGTCCAGTAGAGTGGCACAATACAAGATCAATATACAAGTCAGTGGGATTCCTCTACGGTAACAGAGAAAACATACATAAGGAGCCCAAGAAAGCAATTTCATTTATAATAGCCAACCAAAATTGAGATAATTAGGAATAAACCTAATTTGAGACACAAAAGACCTTTACAAAGAAAACTACAGAACATTTCTGTAAGACACAATGAAGACCTAAAAAAAGTGGAAAAAATGTTCCCTGCTCATGGATTGGAAGACTCAATATAGTAAAAATTACCATTTGACCAAAAGAAATCTGCATGTTTAATGCAATCCTAATACACAGACCAAATTATATTTCAAAAAGACAGAAAAGGCATTTGGCAAGTTTATTTGGAGAGGAAAGAGACCTTGAATAAGGAAAGTACTCTGACAAACAACAAAGAAGTGGGAAGCATAGCACTCTGATCTCAAAAACTACTACACAGCTGTAAAACCAAAACAGCATGGTACTGGTACAAATGACAGGCACACACAGACCAATGACACAGAATTGAGAACCCAAAAATTAATCTGTTTGTCTATGGTCAAGTGACACTATACAAGGAAATAAAAACTGTAAAATGAGGAAAATGACAACCTCGTCAGGAAATGGTGCCAGCAAAACTGGACTGCTTGCTACCTTCAGAAAACGGAAAGAAAATCCACATCTCACACCAAACACAAAAATCAACTCAAGGTGGATCAGTGACCTAGGAGTAATGCTCAAATCCATAAAGATCATTAAGAGACAAAGTAGGACTAAGCTTAGAAGGCCTCGCTCATGGTATAAAAAGGCTGACAAATATAGTCAGAAATATATAACCAGGAGAGTATAAAATTGATGAATGGGACCTTCTAAAGATTAAAGTCCTGTGTGCATCAAAAACATTTTCCAACAGAGTAAAACAAAACTTACCGACTAGGAAAAAACATTTGTCAATACCTTTTCAGACAAGGGTCTTATACCAAAAGTTTACAGAATCCTACAGGGCCTCCACAAGAAAAAGACTGATAACCCAATTACAAAATGGGCAAACGACATGGAAAGACTTTCACAGAGGAAGATAATCAAATGGCCAACAGACACATGAAGAAATGCTCAAATCACTGGAAATAAGAGAGATTCAAATCAAACCCACAAGGAGATACCATCTCACCTCCACAGCAGTGGTAAAGTTGAGGAGAACAGCAAATAATAAATGTTGGAGAGGGTGTGGAGAGATAGGAGCTCTTATATGCTGTTGGTGGGACTGTAAAATGGTACAACCACTCTGGAAGGCAGTTTGGTGTTTCCTTAAAAAGCTGAACACAGAAATTTCATAAGACCCACCTATTCCACTGCTTTAAATATACCCCAAGAAAATAAGAACTGAGAAACAAATAGAGATTTGTATACCAATCTTCATAGCAGTGTTATTCACCATCACAAGAACATGAAAACAGGGCAAATGTCCAAGCACAACTAACTGAATGAATTCAGAAACTGTGGTACATTCACAAAATGGAATAATATGCAGCATGCAGGAGCAATGACTTTGAAAAATCATTGCCTATCCTGGGAGGGACTGGAGAGCATTAGGCTAAGTGAGTTACCTCAGTCCCATAAGGACAAATACTGTGTAAGACCATTGTTGTAGAAATAGAATGATAGATAGTAAAATGTGTACGAGGAACCAAGCCAGAGAAGGTAGGAGCAGAGGGGTGAGGATGTGGGGGGGGGTGGGGGGGGGTCACACAATTTGATGGGTGGAGGGAAGGGTGGGTAAAGGAAATGGGAAAGATCCAGTGAATTCTGAAAGCAAACCAGTATAAAATAAACATTTTATTTAAAACCAAAGAGTCAGTTCTGACTCCATGGCATATAATAACAATTTTATAAATATTTAAAGGGTGAAACCAGGCTACTCCTTAGAGGCAAGAATTCTGAGGCTTCCTCTGACATACTCTGGGCAAGTTGCAAGGAGGGATCAGCCTTTGGAGAGGAATACCATCTTGGGAGGGTGGAAGAACAGCTTAAGACAGAAAGATCCTGAATGAGATGGATGACTCAGTGAATAGGGTAATGGGAATAGGTGTGTCAAGAGACAATAAGGTTGGCACAGGATGGAGTAGGGCTCAGAGCTGTTGTACACAGGGTCACTAAGAGTCATATGTGTCTCAATGGCACATTAACAACAGCAACAGCAAGAAATATTATAACTTTGTGTAATACAGACATATAGCCTATATTTAAGTACTATTAAAAAATAATAAAAAAGATTGCTGGGTGGAGCTCCTCCCCAGCAAAACATCCTAACTGATTAAAAGTATATTTAAATAGGACAAAAAAACCTTTTAAAGTCTATGGAATTTGCCCTAAGGCCATGTAGCATAGAAAGAAACATTTAATGAATAAAGTCTACTTAATCTTTATTTTTAAAAAACCCAAAACACAAAACTACAAAAAGATAAAAAGCCCATTTCTCTTCCCATGAATCTAGTCAGAACTTTGCCACCAGAGAACACAGAAGTAACAGAGAGTAACCTTACATGACAGGCCTTTAGAAGACAGTATGTTTTCTTTTCTTTTTTTCCTCTCTTTTTATAGTCCTCTCTTGTGCTTTCCTCTCTTTTTATAGTCCTCTCTTGTGCTTTATGTCTCAGGTAGTTTACTCTTCGAATCTAGACATTATGCTGTGAGGAAGTCTAAGCCATATACAAAAACCAGATCTAGGTTTTCCAGCTGATACTCAATCCAGGAACCCACTATCATTAAGCTCATTTAAACTAGGAAGAACCCTCCATCAAGTTTCCAAGGCTATAAATCTTAATGGGAAGTGAATAATAATCTTTCTCCTTTGGAGAAGCTGATGGATTTAAACTGCTGACGTTTCCATCAGCAGCCCAACAAGCTATGTACTATGCCAGCTGGGCTCCATTCTAGCCCAGATAAAGCTTCTGTTGAATACTAGTACCAATTGCCAGGCATGTGAGTTAGTGAATCTTTGGGTAATTCTAATAACTAGCCTTTAAGCCAGTCTAATGAACACTGCTGTTGGAAGATCAGAAAAGCTGTGGAATGATATTAAGACTATTATCCAAGAAGAAAGCAAAAGGTCTTACTAAGACAGAGAAAAAAAGACAAGACTGAAATGGATGTCAGAAGAGACTCTGAATATTGCCCGAGGGGAGGGGTAGTGTGGGGAGACAAAACAAAGTATTATAATGAAATATGGAAAGAGCTGGAGTTAGAAAATCAAAAGGCCTGAACTCACTGAACATTTCTTAAGCTGAAGAACAAATTAAATCCTTGAGCTGCAGTACTTAAAAATGCTATGGGGAGAATACTGAATGATCCAGGAAGCATGAAAAGAAGATGAAAGGAGTACACAGAGTCACTGTACCAAAAATAATTTACTGATAGAGAAGAATTTAATGAAACAGCATAAGATCAAGAAGTAGTGATGATGAAAGGGGAATTTCAAGCTGCTTTCAAGGGACTGGCAAAAAATAAGCCCCCAGAAATTGAAGGAATATCAACTGACATATTTCAACAAACAGATGATGTTGTAGTTATGTCTGTAGTTATGCCTGCAACCCATAGCAACTCTATGTACAGCAGCTCTTAAGCTTGCCCTGTCCTAAGCCAGTTTCACTGATTCTGATACACCAACCCCCACTGC